TATTTGGTATGTAGTTGACAATGATGAACGACTGCCCCATATTGCAATATTTTGTCTTAATCTGCTGATAGCTGACGCTCGACAACGATATGTACCGAATACATATAGATGTATATGAATTGACTTTTGCAGCGTATATTATACAGGCTATATACCTTTTCAAATTTCAGTGACGTAAATTACATAATTATATAAGTATTATATCGATTTATATATATTCGGTGCACGGTGAATATATAATATATATATATATATATGTATAGCCTTCGTCGATAATGTTTCACTATACGTACCTACTATATACAGATCTGTTTATGGATTTCTCCCTCACACTCGACAAAAAATATAGACTAAATTGAACAGCAGGCTAAAATATTAGGTATGTCCGATGCACACAGCAATACAAAAAGTCCCAGCGATTCAATTAATGTTTAACCATTGTATGTTTAACATACTATGTTATGAAATATTTAAGTATCTTATGTGTGTATATAATAAGTATAATACTCAGTGGTTGAATTGGAAAAAAAATAAATGTGGACTCTAAATGAAGTTGAACAATTAAGCAAATTATTTTAATAGTAACCCTATTCCTCGATGAATATAATAAAGGGGTACGCTATAATTTGAAGAAAAATTAAGAGTAATAGCTCAGTCCCCCTGCGTCCTCCCCCAATTCAACCACTGGACTTGGACTAATACTGTATATCAAACTATAATTTAAAACAATGCATTCCATTTTTTATTAAAATAATTTCTACATATATTATGTACGTCGATATACGTATTTATAATTCTAGTTTTCAACGTATACATTCCAATATTCGCAGATAAAAATATAAAATTGCTCAAACGTAAATATTATTTATGTATTATGAGTCACTACATTATATGATCGGTACCTATCTATTTTACGTATAAAAATAACAATTCCGATCATTAGAAATTAGTAATTTCACATTAATTACCTCTTACTCATGAAATACCTAGATAAGTACGTACAAATTAAAATTATACCAAGTTGAAAACTATATAAAGAGGTAAAATATAATCCAAATATTAAAAAAAAAAAATGTAAAAACATGATACTGTAACGATCCCCAGTCGGAAAATCAATTTTAGATAGATGGAAAACTCTTGATAAAGTCACAGCTCGCTACAATATTATACTAATATGAGGTACCATTATTATACACTGCAGTACTGCGGTGCAGGCACTTATAGTGTACCATAAGATCTATGTAATATATTAGAAACAAAGGAAATTTTAAATAAACGAAAATGAATTTTCGAGAAAAAACGCCTTTAAATGTACCTATATCCTATATATATTATGTTTAATAGTTAAAAGTTGGACAGCGTGGACCGTGTCAGCGCCCAGCGGGTTATTGGGCGTGAAGCCCCGCGAACACACCCTAGGGGTGGTTTAGCTCTACAGACAACAGTTATTGAGCAATATATATATAGTAATACAATATAATAGCTATATACATATTTCTAATTTCTAAAAGCTCATATCGACCCATACAAAAAATGACCAACCATCTGCAACTTGCAAGTAGATATAATTTGTTCAGCACAGCATGCTACTGCAAATATTACAAATATTAAGAACGTTCCACGATACGATTACATAAAAATATAAAAATTTACACTACACCTATATATTATAGTAAAATTATTGAAATTATTAGTAAAATATGATAAAAAAAAAGTTAAACTGCAGGTACCTTCTTATTGTACCTATATTATTATGCTCTAGGATAATAATATAGAGAGATAGAGACCTCATTTTCCGCTTTCAATTAATAAGATTATTAGAACATTATATACAGTAAACCTAATTTTTTTTTTTAAATTAAATTTTAGATGACGGTCAACCGGAAGATATTGGCTATGGTTATCAAAAAAACTTAAGAAATTTAGAAAATTTATTTGAACAAGAAGTTCGAGTGCCAAGCAATAAGATTAATAAAGATGAAATGGCTGAAAAGTTTCTGAATTATTTGGCAAATGAAAGTCCTCAGTACAATCAAAAACCGTGGAGCAAAAAGTCAATATTCCGCGAAAGAGAAGGTTCTGACATGCCGGACAATTTGCAACAACTGAAATATGATAGATACGCAACGCCTTCTGCTTTTCGTGAACGATACAAAACTAATGCCAACATAGAACAAGATTACAAAAACAATATGGAAGATCAAGACGATTATTTGTACGCTTTAAATACGCTCATAGACAAATACATCGAAGAAAATGTACAAGGCATGTCAGACGAAGAACTGGAGAGTTTTCTGAGGTCCCAAGAAAAAAAACGTAACATACCGGATGAATATCAAAATGTTTACGACCCTTATTATAAAAGGGGAAGCCCAACGAAAAGGCAATTTTTTTTCATCCCCAGATATCAGACGAGAAGAAACAATAAGTATCGAAGTAAATGGGTAAAGCCGAGATTAATGAAGAGATCAAAGAAAAATATAGCATTAAATGAACCGCATACAGACCCAAAAGTAGCCGCTGAGCTAAATAATATTTTTCTTGGATCAGAATCAAACACAAACGCCAACACCACAACAGCCATAAATAATAGTGTCAATCAAACTGCAAAACCAGAAGTGGACGGTAAAAACCTCAAAATAGAATTGAAAAAAAAGTCCATCGATTGGAATAATTATTTTGGATACGATCGAAAGTGTGTTACTAATGACTTTGTAATAAATGTACGACTTTATAACATATACCTGTTTTTTTTTTTTTAATTTTCAGGAAAAAATCGATCGATAATATACCATCCGATGATACCATTTTAAATCAATATATGCGTACGTATGGGAAAGAAGGTGATGACAACGAAGACATGAATACTATTAATCTAAAAGATGACAAATTAATGTGGATGGAAGATGCACTTATCAACGACGCACTGAAATATACAGGAGCTAATCAAGGAACAAATGATCCAGAAGAAATAAATAATGTCAAAAATCATGTACTTGCCAACTTGAATCAAGCATACAACATCGAACAACTTAGACATTTAAATAACGAGATGCAAGGCAAGTAATACTAAAATATTTGGTAAATACACCAACTAATAAATCAATTGATTCATTTAAAAATTGTTCATGACAATATGACATTAAGTAATGTACATTATATACATTTTTTTAGAAAAACAATATGAAAAATCAGATTTTGTTATGCCTGCAGAAAATAACAGTCAACCTATGAATTCGTTGGATATAGCTGAGTCAAATAAAGAAGGTAACATACTATATGTAAATATGAAAAATAATAATATAACACATTCATATTTTTGTTAGCTGATCATAACGAATGTACTCAACTTCTACAAATAACTCAGAACTGTTTAGAATTGGGGGGATCAGCTGGAGACTTAATGTTGCCAGTGTGTATGCTTTACCGTGTTTGCAGAACTTGTGTAAGTAAAATGCAACATCTATAAATTAATTTCTAGATTTAAAATAAAACTAACATTTTAACAAATACTAGGAATCAGAGCAATCAGAATGTGAAGCAAAATTCATACAAGGATCTCACGAACTGTGTAGCAAAGCTCCGCTGTGTAGATACTTTTCACGGCGTATACTACAACTCATGCAAGAACATCCACTACAAATACAATGTCATAAGTGCATGGTTAACTTTTTACAGAATGAAGATTAATAGATGAATTTTTAATAATATAATTTTATCATAATATTAACTAAAAAAAATGGGAAACTATGCCTATAACTTAATATAATATAATATATATATATTTATATATGTATACAAAAGCTTAAATTATAATCATTTAGATGGTGCTAATCTGTCTCAGAGTTACCAACTTTGTTTTTGCTGATATATGCGAGTTAAAAAAAAATAAAGAAGTAGTTCATTCAATGCGTCATATATACTTAATAAATATTACATAATATTCATATATACATATATACATATATATATATATATTAAAATAATAACATAAATTAGTTATTTGATGATTGTCATTGGTATTGTTATAATCCAAATAAACTTAAGACGGCTTAATCATATTAAAATGTTTTTTAACGATATTTATATAAAAATATAAATAGAAACAAATGTATACAACGATATATTCTTAAAAATAATAATTAAAATATAAAAACAACCTTAATATGACAAAATATTATGATTTAAATAACATTAAAATAATACTGTTTATTAAAAAAATTAATATAGTAATATAAATATAAATCAAATTATATATCAAAAAATGTGAAAGAGTAATGGCATTTTTATCACAGTATCACAGAGATGAAATAACTACAATAGCTTAGTAAAGCCAAGGTAAGTGTGAGAAGCTTTACGATTAAGGTTTATACCAGATGACATTTCCCTTAGTCTAATTAAGATTGATTCTCCGGGTTTGAAATACTCTACAATGGATGTGAAACATGAGATTTCTGTTCCAGAAACACCCACTGAACTACATACAGATAGTGTTTCATTTAAATCAGCTGTTACTTTGATCATAGAAAAACTGTTCTTCTTAGTAGACGACAAATAATATACCTAATAATAAATAAAACTCATTACATACAAATCTATTTCATACCATTTTACTACAAACACTCTAATGTATGTCTCTTTAATATAAACCATACTTATATATCTTTTAAAAATGCTATTATAGGGCAATTAGAAATTATTAAAAGGGTGCAACAGTAAAATTTTGTATACCAGTTTAAATGTAAAAATTGCTATTTATACTTCTATTGTGATCATATAGATGGAATTAAGAAATTGTTAAATTTATTTGTATTTTGACAAAAGCATTGTTTTTAAAATATTTTCAAAAAAGCTTTTATTAAAACAAAATAGTTTTTATTATAGGTTAATATTATTATGTTACCTTAATTTATATCACATAACTAAAACTTTTTAAATATTAAAAAGTTTTTTATTTAATTGTAATTTTTATACAGAAACAAAGACAACTGATTCAAATGTTGCACTCTTTAAGGGAAAATATATCAGAATGAAAATATATTACCTGTATGTAAACTAAATAAAGTCCTGGGTCAACTATTTCAAATAAAGTTCTTCTTGAAGTTAATTTTACAGGAGAATACGAATCAACTGGAAAACTTTTATTCGACAAAATCCATGGCCCAAAGATACCTGTTCATAAAATTATGATCAATATTTGGATTTAAATTCACCAAATACTACGTTTACACCAGGATAGGAAATCAATTAGGTTTACTAAATCAGTCCTAACACTTAAAAGTGATTATTGACTTGACACATTGTCACATTAAAAACAATCATGTAAGACTATCAATAACAATAAAAGTAATTTAGTTGAATTTCGCACATATTTTTTTAAACAAGATGTAAACGTAGTAAATTACAGATTTACAAAATTATAGTGAATGATATTGTAGGTACACACTACCATTATGTTCAAAATCTATATTTGGTTGGGCCAAGTAGAACAAGCACATACTTTGAACTAGAAATGAGAAAATTAAATTAAAAACATCAAAACAATATCCATGTTTGTAAAAAAATATAAAATTACATTTTGTTGACTTGGTCGACCTGGTGTGTCTAACCTTTAAATTTTTCATTTTGGAAAAGTCAAAATTAATTTCATTTGTATCACCTTCAGTTAAATCAAACTTTGAAGATGTTTTAAGTATGCATAACCTTTCGTTTGAAAGCATAGTTTTCAAATCATCAACAGCATGATAAATATATATAACTAAGGATAGCACCAATAAATTAACAAATATCACAATTATATCTTTTTTCTTCAAATAGTTATCATTTTTCATTTTATTCATTGTTCACTTTATCTGTAAAATCTTAAGTTTAAAATTAGGACAACAACAATATGTAACACTTTAACATAAACTTGATGAAATTACCTCAACAAGAAATACAGTTCACTGAATGTTATTTTAAACTAGCCCTGCAGGCTATAATTTCACAACGGAATCTTAAATACCTATTAGTTGAGTTAACTAATTGAATATTGCACTATTGCAATGATGTATCTACGACATAAGACATCATAATATGTGTGTAGGTATGAAGATATTATGAAGGTATCATAAATTCGCACGTAATTAATAAAACCTGAACATAACATATATAATTATAATGATTAAATGGTAAAAAATAATTAATGTATAAATAATAATAAAAAAATATATATATTATTTTACAACATAGTGAAAAATAAAAATTTTTAACAATAGCAATATCATAGTACAAATAATACAATATAACAATAGTTGTTATTATTTATAGCCAATTTCAATATTTTATCATTAGAATATAATATTATCAGAACAAAATCATCAGTAGGTGCGGCCAATTTGTATTGTGTTTGTGTACCTAAAATCAAGATGGATATCCAACATATATATATATATAATATCCAGCTTACAAAAACATAAATTTCACCGGAAAATCGAACATGGACACATGACACTGTGACAGACGACAGTAACAATAGCGGTAACAAACAACAATTCAAATTGTTTATCTTCCGGTGATCGCAGCAGATCACATGTTTTATGGTTAAGTTATACCACAGAACAATAGGTTATACCGGGTATATTGTTTATAACAGGTGATATTATATTATCAAATTTTGGTTTATGGTAGCCGGTATTCGGTAACTATTCTCGTTGTTATATCACGCTATTCGACTATTTGATATTTGATTTGAATTTCTAGTTGAAAAATTAAAGTATTCATTATTCAATTCATATATCCTACCTATAGTCACGAAACAGCGAAAATGTGAGTATGTGACTAAAGTAGCCAGTTTATATTAGGCATAAATGCAGTTTAGTCTTCAAGATGTTTTTAAATTTTTTTTTCAAATACTTATGTGTTTCAACAAGTGTTCTTCACTTGTGGTAATCAGAATTTATGGGTCGTGACTTAGTTTTAAAGTTAACGATCTTCTGTAGGGTACTTTCAGTCATTCATTAATCAGGTTTTTTTAATTTATCAACATTATCAATTTTCAAGTTGGGTTATTTCTGATTCCACCAAAATATTATTTATTGTATTTTTAACTTGAAAACACAATATTGAAGCCTTGAAATGTTTTAACTATAAATTCTAAAAAAAGTGTGATCAAATTTTATTTTAAATTCATCATATTAGTAACCACTCATTTTGAAAAACAAACCGCTCGAGGGCTAAACTGCATTCGTTACATAAAATGTATAAAAAAAATAAATACAGTAAATATAGTATTAGGTACCTATCCAAATTAATGGCAGCATTCAGTAAATCTAGTGATCTTACTCACTCCCATGGTTCCTTCACTTGTAAACGTTCCTCGAACCTATGATATTATGGAAATATTTTATATTATACTGAATTGACTTATTATTAAATTTGAAGATAATAAAATGTTATGTTATTTAGCCCCCATCCGGTAGCATATTTTTGTATTTTAATTTTGAAGTAAGAATTTTTTTAGGTATTTTAAACTTATGAAAAATTAATTTTCACTTTTAAGTGGGGTAAAGAAAGTATGTCAATTTTGTTAGTCAATTTAGATAAATTATTGATCATATTTACGTAAATCGTAATGAAACTCGTGATAAAATATTTTACTTGAAGTATACTTTGGAAGGTTTGTGTTAGCTGATACGATTTGAAATCCTAAAAAACGTTAAATTATGCTTGACTGAAGATAAGCAAAAAAAAAATTAACCAATCAAAAACATATTTCTATCGTGCGTATATCATTTTACATAAGTTTTGTGCTCAGCATATAAATAATTTTACACCTATATATCCTTGGTCAAATTAAATTAAAATTTGTGTACATCATTTTCAAAAATTGTTTCTCAGAATTTAAGGCTAAATATAGCCTGACATATTCAATATAACAACTATAAAAGCAATAAACCAAGATGAAAAATAAGACCCAATAAGAGGTCCTGTTGTCCACTAAAAATCGAAAGTTCTAATGACGATTATATTTAATATTTATCATTGTCAAGTATAACGATTTATGATCTAGCTTTATTATTGCAGGATTGATTCATTGTATAAGTACAAAATAAATCATTTTAACTCCCATCTTATCGTTCAATTGACTTGCGGATAATCTAATAATTGGAATAATATATTAATCGATTAATAATATAACATTTAATATTTTAATGAGCAATTGATTATTTAAAAAAATAAAAATAATCGCACATTCCTGAAACCTAATGAATTAGCGAAGAGTAATTTCAAGTTGCAACCATACATAAATTATTACATCATACATTCATACACAGTAAATCAGAAAGCAGCTTATCTATTTTTTCTTAAACAACACAAACATTCAAAATCTGCTTTTGGTATTTTTTAAAATACTTACTCAAAGACTATTATATTATCATCAAATTCTTGATATTTTATGTTCTATTAAAAGAGTGAACTGTGGAGATACAATAACTTCAGGTTTTCATAAAAAATTGGTTTATTCTTCTGCATATTGTTTGGTGGATTTTATTTTTTTGAAAATATCTATGTATTAAATATAATTTGTATTATATAAATTTTAACGAGTTCCTCTTATATTGAGTTTTTTTTTCAATTGATATTTTAACAGTACAAATATTATATCTCCGATCTCGACACGTGAAAGAGTTCTGAGTTGTAACTACTTGTTTAATATTGAGTACCTACTAAGAATAATAGATCTATAGCATTGTGTTTGAAAAATATGTGGGCTAACTGGGCTAAGGTGTTACTTATAGAATTTTTTTGAAATTTGTTGGTTCCTGTATTTCTTGTGATTCTTAAGAATCTGAATTAGCATTTGGTGACTAATTCAATAATATTTACTGTTTTGATTTTTGTTTCGTTTATCGGGGAAATTAGGTATATAATTTTTTCAAAAAATTGACACTTTAATAAATTATCCACATTAAATTTATTGTTGAAAATATATTATTATTATTTTTTGAGTGACCTTATGTAATGAGTATCTAATGATATATTGACGTTTTTATAAAACATTAAAACACTATATTATTATATTATACGTTTTGCTTTTAAAACACACCGCCTCCAATCATTCAAAATTATGACGTCATAATACTCATCTCCATCATGTCTCTTTTATTATTCTACTCATTATACGTATAGACGTACATAAATATTATCTATACTACCTTTTTCGAAAATGCGTAGGTAATGGTAACGTTATTATGAAAATAATATACAACGAGTTAATAAATCATTAATTAAAATACCCATCATTATGCAGTATAAAAAGAGTAGGGGCTTGATGGTGTCAAATGCCACCTCCCACAAATATTTGACATTTTGTATCTATTAATTTATTCACAGCACAAAAATAATATCTAAATTATTGTTAAAATAAAATTCACATTTCATGTTTTCATTTTTTCGACTGATTTTAATATTTATTTAAGTTTGATTGATTTATAGGTAACAGTACAAGCTATTATGCAAGCATATATTTACCTCCAACACGGAGAAATTTACAAATCGGCAGGCAAAGCATATAGTAGATATAAGCATATAAATTCTATGATTAAAGAAAAAAGAGGCTTTGCGTTTCAATTATAAATGGCTAACTGAAAAATACAGTGATGTATCGTTAACATTGCAAGTATCTACCTATATCTACGTTTTCCAAAAATTGTGGCACGAGAACTGGGAAATCTGCCTTCACGAAAATTAGTATTTGAAGCATTCAAATACACGAAACAATAAAACTGTTGAAAAAAGCTAACGGAATTATGGTTTGATAAACAAGGTTAGTTAGGTTAAGGTAAATAATAATATAATATGATAACTAGTTACTTATATTGTAATTTCAATATGGTATTTGGTATATGATATACGTTTTTTTACAAACATATTATATTTATAGAAAATAGAAATCTTTGGCACAGGCCTCACAGCGAGACAGCTAGTATTTAATAATTCAAAAAAATGTTTATAGATATTTATTAGTTTTTGGATCTTTTTAACATATTTAAAATGCTTTTGATCTGGGTTTTTCTAACCAATATTCGCAAGACCGATTTTCATAAGGCTTTGTTTATTGTTTTTTTTTTTTAACAATAAAAACTTATGGGGTCCAACTATGGGGCGCTGTTAAAATCTCCAACATCCAAAGATTTCAATCAAAACCTCTACGTACAATTCTTAAAGCGCCATTCTTTGTCTCTAATCACACCCTACACTCCGACCTCAAAATTCCGTATGTCTCTGAATTAGCGAAAACACATTATAAGCGTTTCAATAGCTGCCTGGCCCACCATACAAATCCCTTAATCTCTGACCTATCATCTGTTTCTATCCCAGGTAACCCAACTAAAAGATTAAAAAGACAGTGGTGTCGCGACCAGCTAGCCTAACGCCTAAGAGAATATATATACAATAATAACCTAGCCTATAAGAAAATCTTACTCATGTCGTTGTACCTACACTGGGAGGCCTCTACAATCCGTCAAATCTGCAATTTTATATATTATTATTATTATTATTTATCTTAGCTTCTATCATCAATTATTCTTATTGTTCTCCTTTGAAACAGATTGAATAAAACATAATAATAAACACAAAAAAAAAAAAACAATAAAAACAGCAATTGAAACATAATTAAACTCCTGACAACATTTAGTATGCTACTGCATATTTTTTTACTACACTTTACCCAAAAACATTATATCTTAGATTCCTAAATGTTCCTTAAAGTGGAAAAATATCTATTTGCATGTCTTATACTTATTATTAATTATAATAAATACGAATTTGTATAAATATATACAATATATAATAAATATAATTTGTATTTTTTTGACCCTTAAGTGAGCAATGGTTAGACATATTTGAAAATTTTAAATATTTTAGTAATAGTACATAATATGAACTAAGTACGAAGAATACCTACTCAAAGATAATATATTGTTTGACAAGATGCTGTTTCGGAATCACTCGCATAGTCGCATTGTGGGAAGCTGACTCCTAGTCCTCCCAAAAATTCACTTATGACTATATTATCGTGATCGTCAGAACTTCTCTATACTGCAGGTCTGCGTTAGCCGATGTATTATCTTTGTTATATAATGGCACAGTTATACATATACATAATTTGTGTAGGTACCTATATAAGACGGTGTTAGATTATCTACGTTTTTGGTGTTATGGATGACGCGATTTCATTGGTCATTATTTTTATTACAACAGTTATTATTACATTTGTCGCATTGCATTGCAGATAAATAAAACCTATTATTATATATTTCTAAATACAATTACGAGCTGTGGTACCAAATCGCCAAAGATTATCTCGAAAAAGAGTAATGTCACGACAAAAACACACTATACCTAAGTAAGTAAAAAAAAAATGTACTTATATTAGTCAGGTATACCTATATTAGTTGTACGTTTATAAAAGTTGTGATGTCAATGCCGTAACGCTGTACAGTCGGTTTAAAAA